AAGTTACTCAAATTCCTTTTTGTTGTGTGGAAAACACTGTGTGGACATACAAACTTGGGGAAACTCTAGTTCAATGGAAATAAAAARAACTTGTTAAGAGTTTTCAGCTTAAAACAATCTAACTGTTTTTTGCTGGGTTTCTTTCTGCCTTTAAGTCAAAACCTCCAAACAAGGCTTTATTATAAAATATCACAATCTGAACTTATTGTTTAAAGTGTGCTGATAATAGGACTAAAATGACAACCTACAAAAAAACACTGCTGCATGAACAACTCATTAATAATCCTACTTTTTTAAAAAGCCAGCAAAGCTTTTAAACAGTAGACTAAAATCATTAAAACCCAAGGTTTTAGAGGTTTTTGGATGTCACACAGTGAAAACAGAAAAATAACATTAAGCCCGTCAAAAATGGTAAACCATTTGCATTTCTGTTCTATACAACACATTAACTGAGATAAAGATTTTACTAATAAATTGTAAATTTGTGCTTAAATAATTCATTCAAACTTACTTGAACTTTCATGCTAGGACACTCAACCATAATAGATAAACAAGCTAATGCTCAATTCTTTGCATATACAACTAACTATAAAAGTTGAATGTGGATGAGAGCAGTGGTGTAACTGTGAAAGACATATTCCTAATATAAATGTCAATAATGAGCAGTAAGTCAAATATTTGGGCTGGGAATTTTGTTGCAGCAATGTTACATAAATTCTATTGCAGTGCCCTGTGGCCCCTGAGGTAAGTGCAACATGGAAACTATAAAATATTTCTTTAAAAATAATTAGTGTGTATGAGGAAGACTTGATTGTCATAACATAAAAAGAATTCAACTATGAGTAGTTTTGGTGAGTAAAATGTATTTTATTTACAGGTTTTGTTTTTAAATAGTCAACCCTGCTTAATTTCTTTCTTGTGCGGATTAAAGGTTACATGAACCTGGGGTTGACTGTATTTTTGGCTATGTATTAGTGTAGTGTGTTGATTGCTACAAATGATATACTGTAAGTAGTGTAGCAGTGGGTGAAATATAAGGAGACTTAATTGTTGATTAAACTGTTTTTAATTTGGTTTCTTGCTTTAGTGCGCTAAAGGTTGGCCTAAAGCATTAAAAGTTAATGTTTGTTGTGTAAAAATCATCTGTGATGCAATGACCCTTTACACTGCATTCTTGTATAATAATGGCTTCTAAAGCTGTGACATCATAATTATGGCATTAAGAGGTGAATATCTAAGGAGGACACAACTGAAGACCTAGGTGTGAAGTGTCAGGTCCACCACTGCAATAGCAACATAATTTTCATTTTGGAACTTAAAATGTGTTACTCCATATTATTTGACCCTGGATAATGTGACGTGCGCCTCCATGAATCAGACTTGATTGTCTAGCACAGCATTCCCAAACTCTTCCATGCTATGGCCCCCCAAAGAGCATTAGCTTCTAGCTACAAAACATGTAAAGAAACATCAACTTTTACAATGTTTTTTTTCTAATTAAAAAAATTGTGTTCTTAGACTTTAAAAAAGCCTTTGATACTGTAAACTATGAAGTGCTTCTGATGAAATTAAATTAAAACAACTATTTTTTTCTCAACAAGCATCAAACTGGTTCAGATATTATCTGGAATCTAGACAGTAGTGTGTTAAAAATGAACAGTATCAAATCGACAATGCAGAAATATAAGCTAGGTGTACCACAAGGGTCGATACTGGGGCCTTTGCTCTTCTGCTTATATATAAATGATCTTCCTCAAATCTGCAAAGGTACAAACTGCCAACTATATGCAGATTATACTATTATTTATGTAACTGCAGACACTCCTAACCAGGCTGCAGAATTATTAACTAAGCAATTAGTTGGAATATCTCAATGGCTGCAGGAAAATTGCCCAACTCTAAACCAAATAAAAACAGCTTCAATGTGTTTTTTCTTTAAAAGAGAAACACACTGTTTAAAATAAATATCAGGAAATCGGGGAAGTATCTGAGTTCAAATATCGGCTAATGGACAGATCAGATGTTAAGAAAATGTCCAAGACTATCAATACTAATATAAACTGTTTGTTTGATAAGACCCTGTATATCTACCAAACTAGCTCTAATGTATATGCATGCAATATTATGGTATGATCATTATGTGTTACTGTTTTATCACCTGGGGCCAGGCCTTCAAATCTGTCATAAATCCATTAATGTCATCATTATACATGCGAACCCTAATAGTATTTGATCAGAAACCAGTGAAGTGGCATCATTGCCAAACTATTCAAAAATACCATTTGCTGAGTGTTGATAATTTTCTTACAGTTTATTTAGTGAAAACAATATTTATATTATTAATGGCCTTGCCCCTGAAGTAATTTGTCAGTTAATAGAAAAATATAATACTGAAGGTGCGAGAACAAGAGCTGGGGTCAGTGAGAACTGCAGAGGCAAAAGGTGCAGAACCACTCTGGGACAATCATCATTATTAGTCAGCTGTAGAACAATTTACCTCTGGATCTAAAGTCACTGTCAGGCATAAAACATTTTACAACAAAACTGAAGTACTGGCTGAAGGAACAACACTGTGGACACTGAAATTTAACATGAACATGTATTTTAATGTATTTTATTTGTGTGAATTGTAACTGCACTGTACTCATTTATTTATGTTATTAACCTTTATTTTGTTCAGATCATAAAGTGTAACCAGGGACGAGGGCTGTAAATTTAGCTTTTAGCTAGAAGCCTTGTGTATGCTGCATCTGTTGCCTTTGGGTAATAATGTTTTGTTTTACTGTCCTTGCAAAAATAAATAAAATAAAATAAAATAATTAACTAGCCTAACATACATTTAAAAAATATTACCAATGGGGGGGAAAATATTTTTTTTCAACAAACTGTTGATAAGAACAGAACAAAAGAAATCAAACCTCTCTTATAACATTTCAATATAATAAATTATATTTCTGAATAATGATTGTAAAACAGATTTAATGTTTTAATTTACAATATTTGATTTTTTTTTCTCATCTTCCCTCCAGATTTCTGAGGCCCCCCCTAGTGCCTCCTGGTGGCCCCCACATTGAAAAACACTGGTCTAGCAGATGCTTAGGAAAACGTCTAAAAAATGTTCTCTGCATGACTGGATCTAGGTTTTTGCAGTATTCAAATCATCAGGATAGCATCTGTTATCAGAGTGGGACAACGTTTTTTTCCAGTGTGGTTTGGTTCTGGTGTTCACAAGACCACTGAAAACTTAAGGTTATGAACATAACCCCGGTTCTCTGATTAGCATGAGTGAGTGTCTCACTAAGGGGGAACGCCTCCTGCGTGACCTCATCAGAAGCTTAAATTTCATTACGCCAGCCCTCATTGGCTGGCACAAGTGACGTCTATGTCAGGAGGGGCCCAGACCCTCCCTCTATAAAAGGGGCTGACATAGTGTCAGTCATTATTCAACAAGCTCACCTCTTCCTCGCTTTGCAGCAWGGAGGGTGGTCTGGTGAGACACTCACTCATGCTAATCAGAGAACGGGGGTTATGTTCATAACCTTAAATTCTCTTTCATAGCATTTGTTTTGTGTCTCACTATGGGGAGAAATACTGACTCCCAGATTGCCAAACATGCCTGTTTTAATGACAGCTGTTCCCAGAGGCCACTCAGTAAGAGGTTGCACAGTGAGACCCTGCACTTAGGACTGAATGTGCCAAAACAGGAGCAGTCACATCAAGCTTTTAAAACCTAGCAAAAGTGTCAGAGGAGGACCAGCATGCAGCTGCACACACTTCCTGGATAGGGACCCCTTTAAAACCTAAAAACCTTCTTCCAGAGGTTCAAAGAAAGAACCAGAAAGAGCTTATAGAACAGTGGGAAGGTCCCAGGATGGGGCCAAAGGTCTGGACGTGGGCAATTTGCGGCATGCCCATCTCATAAAACGGCACACCAAAGGGTGTTGGCCCACAGTTTTTCCCTCAAACCCAACATGACAAGCTGAAATAGCAGCCAAATATACTTTTATGGTTGAAAAGGCTTTGCCTCTTTCAATAAGTTTCTGTAAAAATGACAGGATTACTGCCACTGAACACTGATAAGGGATGATGTTAGAGTCTGAGCACCAGCTCTCAAACACCTTCCACATTTGCTCATACAAGGACCTGGTTGAGGGTGCTCTGGCACATTGAGTGGTGTCAATAACACCAGCAGGGAGTCCCTCTGCATTCTGAATCAGCCACTCAGGGGTCATGCCCACAGAGCCAGCCTCTCCGGATGGGGATGAAATATCTCTCCGTGCGCCTGGGATAGCAGGTCCTGGCTTGTTTTTTTAACTGCTAGTATCTGGGACATCTTTCTTTCAATTGTGATCCATATCTGATGATCACAGCTGAATGTAATATAATGAACGTAAAATAGAATGTAAATAAACCTATTAAGAGATTTGCCTCTTTCACTATCACAGTAAATTACTTAAGGTCTGATTTAAGGTAAAACATGTATATTGTAATACAGCGAGTGAGGTAAATGCCCAGATTAGCTACATAATGTAGCAAGAACAAAGAAAAGTTTTAATTTGTGAATTTTTTTTAATCAAAAGAGGACAAAAATCAACTCAAATGAAATAACTAGATCAAAAGCCTGCTGAAATACGTTTAAAACAGCAGCTGAAGTTTTCTTTTTTAAACCAAACATTTTGGAACAAAGTTACACAGACTGAAACCACCATGAACTGCCCTAGGTCCTGAAATACAGTAAGGTGTGTAAATTTCACCAAGCAAAGAAACAGAAGTTATAGCACGGAAAAAATAAAATAAAACACAAAGAAAACGTAAAAAAGATCTTTATGCATGCATGTGTCATTTTCTGAAAACACTCAGATATAAATATTTAACTGTGTGCACAGACCCCAACATTTTTTTTCTACACCGTCTTCCTCTTTGTCCTCTACCCAGCAACATCCATCCTTTATTTCCCTGCCGCCTCTTATTGTTTTCCCCTCCTCCTCCACTCCTCCCCTCTCTGCAGGTTTGCCAAAATAACAGCCTCTGACGGTGGGTTCGCATGAACACAGTCTAATGGGGGATGGATTCACCTCTTTTTTTTGGATATTTTTTTTCTTTGCCTTTTTGCGTCTGCCTATTGTTTAGGTGAAAGATGTGGGTGTGTGCGGGTGTGTGTGTGTGTGTGTGTGTGTGTGTGTGTGTGTGTGTACACTTCACCAGCCCCCATAGCAGTGGGAGAGGAGGAGACAACTGTATGCGTGAGCAATATCGTTTTCCCCTCCCTCCACTTTTCTCTTACCCCCCACCACCTCCTCATGCTTCTTTTCCTTCATTGCCACGACCATCAGGACCCATTCTCCCTCTCCCCCTCTCTTTCTCACCATCATTCTGCTTGGTTATGCAATGCACAGTTCCCACACGGTGACTAACTGGTGCTGGAGACCTGCCGTAACACTGCTGTCACCGGTGGTAGGTGTAGATCTATTGTGACACAGCGACAGGCACTCAGGCTTCCTTATGCCTCTACAGACATCTCCTTGGGATTTTCATCTTTTTGCGTTTTCCATGGAATATCACCTGCCAGACTCTGCCTAATTTGGGGACCTGCCTGTTCTTGTTCAGCTCAGCGGAGGCTGGGTGTCACAGAGATACATTCAGCTCACCCTGCAGACATAATCACGCACAGTGTTGGCACGGGTGCTTCAATGTTGAGATTTTTTTTTAGTCCACTGATCCCCAAAAGGATGAGCTAGTGGAAGTGTGCTGAGAAACAAGGAGGTGTGTAGATTTACAAACTGCGAAGGGAGCTGGTGTAGTTGTGTGGAGGAGTTTAGGCAAAGCAGGTAACTGGGAACTGGCGACCGAAAAGACGAAGCAGACAAAAAAAAAAAGGATGGGAGGAATGCTGGGGAGGTGGGTTGGAGGAACACCCGCTGCAAGCATTTTAACAGCAGAAATGTAAACCTGCTAAATATCACTGAAYGCAAACATTTGCAACGGCAAACTTCAAGCATTTTTTGGAAAGCGAGATTGCAGAACTTTCCAGGTGGCGCTGTAGAACGAAGAAAAGAGAAGTGACACAAGGGGGTTTTCTTTCAAGACAGCAAATTCATCGCCGTTGTTGCACCCCTGCTTTCCATTCTCCTCTTTATTGCTTGGCGTGCTGCTTTAACTGCTGGGACTGAGACTACATATCCAATCTTCTCCTGTTTCTACCCTGGGTCTATGTATGATGTCTTTAAACCCACATTTCTCCTGTGAGGACGTAAAAAGAATGCCGGATGATGTTGTACACCAGAAACGTCTTAGGGTAAGCCACTTTTTATTCAACACCATTGTTATGTTTTTGATCAGAGTTTCATTTCACACATCGCTGTGCAGTTGTGATGAAATTTTATTTAAAGGATAAGTGAATAAATGTGGTGCCATTCATATAAAAGCCTTAGAACTGAATGATCCCGTTCAGCTTTTTATTCACACATTTCTCAAAGGAATCACGCAAAATCCAGCTCTTTAATCTTTAAAGAGGTCTATACAAGGAAGGTTGGGGTTTAGGCTTGAACTGCCTTTAAAGATCGGGAGGTGATTAATTAAATATACTACACAAAAAATGTGCGACTATTGCAAGCTCTAAATGGTAGTGTGAAATTGCACTTATCTTGGCACAAGGAAACACCACAGAGCGTCACTGCTGGCTTTGTAACACTTCAGTTTCAGATAAGCTGAGGACGAGTCAGAGTGTGGTGACATCCACAGCTTGGTTTCAAGCTGTGCCAGATCATAAGTACCAATAATAAGATACTAATATCCAGTCTTTTTGGCGTAGCTATTGTTTTGTTTGATTTGCAATTGATTTCTTGTGGTACAGTGGTGATGCGCTTTGATACTGGCTTCTATGAATCAAATGCATAAGTAGAGGACAGGGGAAGCCCAGTTAAGCTATAACAGCAGCATACATCTTCAAATCCAACTGCGTTGTTGTTTGTCTTTCTAACATCAACTCTCTCTTTTTTATTCTAGATAAATGCCCCCTTGCCAGGTTAGGTGAGCATCAGGATCATGGGCACGACTGTCATCACTCTTGATGACGTGCGGGCACTGGAGGTCAAGGAAGAGCAGGAGGAGTCAATCTTAGCCATGTTGGGCATCATTGGTACTTTCCTTAACCTCTTTGTGATTGTTTTTGTTTACATTTACACCACATTGTGAGGCGCAAAGGCTGAGAAATACAAAATACTTTGAAGAATGTCAGAGTTAGCAGTATTGAAAGACTGCTTAATAGGAGACGTGTGACATGAATATCTACCCCAGAGACAGGAGGAGAAAACTTAAAAACCTGATAGAGGATGAAGCGGAAGAAGAAGCCATATTGACAAACAACAGGCATGCACTGGGAAGATAACGAAGGGCTGGAGGACATGGCAAGGGCAGAACATTTCTGGAAGGTGGATGAGATGACCTGGATGCAAACTGGGAAGCCACCAACCAAGACTGACCCAAACTGACCCCTCTATGGCCTAATAAAAGTAGATACTTTACCTGGATCTTAGAGTTTTAGACTGCTGGACCAATAATGAAGTCTTGTGGCAAAAACTAATAGCCAACCATTTACATATGCTTCATTCTTCTTGATGATAGTGTCATAGCTGCTTGTCTAGAAGGACAAGATAATTACATGCAAACCCTGTAAAAACTGCAGGGAAGCTGTACCAATCAGTTTTTAGGGCCAAAAATGTTAAATTGTGAAGGGTTTGTGTCAAACAGTATAAGAAAATGGCTGTACTCTCATAATTTTGAAAATTTAAAAATAATCTTACATTACCATTAGGACATTATATTTCATAAATGCTTATCATCCTGCTAAATTTTGATTTCAAGAAGGTCCTTTTCAAGACAATTTTAAAAAAGAAATTATTTTTTGTAGAATATTTGTCTTCACAGAAGCAAGAAATTCAGAATCATGAACAACTTGCAAAATAACAAATCATATTTGTATAAAGATGGAACTACCCTTTCATTTTATTTTCTGAACTTCATCTTTTGTCTGCAATTGATGTTCATAAATGGTGTGTTGAGAGTGAAGGATGAAAGATTTTGTTTTCCAAAAAGGTGTTTCAGCAATTTCTTTCCAATAATTAAAATGCTTTTAAAAAAATACATATCTGAATAAAGAATAATTGTATTGTGCAATGGAGGACAGAGTGAATTGAAAAGATAAAGTTAACAAAATAATAAAAACAAATTCCTTTGAGCTGTATCTAACCAAGGTGTATGTGAGAAAATATATGTTCAGGAATGTACAGTGAACATGGTTTGAACAAGTCATTTGTTTTCAATGACAAGTGAAAAACATTGCAGTAGTTTTATGTTATGACCTTTGTATGTGCATTCTGAACCCAGGAGGGTAAGTATTGTTGGTTTTTGAGAAAAAAATTATTTTAAGTCAGATCAACAGAATGAATGGGATCACTTTCATAAACTGGTGGTTCCCAACCTTGTCTGCTCAGAGGTTTTAAAAATATCAATTTATTATTTTGTATATATGACACGTTATGTATAACTCAGTTTATTTTTTCCCCTTTTACAAATAAAAAGTTTGTAACTACCAATTTATTCTTTTATTATTTTAAGAGATAAAGGTTGTACAGGTGTTTAGGAGAAATGGGAAGTCGGGAGAAATGGGGAGTAACAAGGAATGGGGGAGGGAACTCAGCTTGGTTTTGAAGTATGAAAGGGGGGCTTTGAGGAAAATAGGTTGGGAACCACTGATCTAAAAACATACTATGTATTTTTTTTTGGGGGGGGGGGGCACAAAAATATATTGAAGTGACTCCAAACTTTAGCATATTTTTTGTAAGAATAAACTGTGAAGGAATCATTTATGGCCATATTTCTCAAATTGTGATACAAGTACCACTGATAACAAGGTAATCAGCCATCCTAATCTGAACTGTAAACTTTAACATAATGAGTAAGAAACAAAGATGAGAAGTTGAAGCAAAAAAATGATCTTGGTTTAAAGAGAAACTTTTAAACAAAATCACAATGAAGAAATTTTGTCAACCCCTGTAGAAACAGGTGGACAATGGATAAACAACTCTTAAGACTGTACCTTACAACCAGGATCTGGTGCGTGTTTTCATATCGCAATGGTTTCTCCTGAATCCGTTCAATGACCAAAACAGTTGAAGCACAGGCTGGTGCATGAGCCCATTTCTTTTATTTAGCCCATGAAAAAAATACTGACTAAATTAAATATATAGACTGTTAAAATCATAAAGCTTATTGTTTTTAAATTTGTTGTTAGTATAAGTTTGTTAGCTTATACTGCTGGTCATTCTGTTGGAACTTGGAGAGCTTAGTATTTTCTAAGATGGTACTAATAAAAAAGTGTGAAAAGCTATTAGTCTGTGGTTTTACAGCTGTGCAGATAATCACCTCTAAATCCCGCAACCATATGGTCAAAGAGCCTATTTGCCTGTAGTAATGGAATATACAGTTCAAATGTGAATGGTGATAAATTGTGAATTTATAAGAAGAGTGTTACTGAATAAAGGAAGTGCAGTGCTTCTATAGTACCTTTCACATTGTCATGACTGCAAAATATGCCTTGTGCTGAGGGAAATTGAAGTAAATGTTTATGAGTTTGTAAAAATGATGATTTTCTATGCATGAGGTCAAGCACTTGTGCTTTTTAATTCTTTTGTAAAACCTACAAAAATTGCAAATCAAATAGTTGATAAACAGAATCAGGCATAATCTACGACAAATTACCCTTTACCTTCATGTATTCATACAAACATTTATTCAATGTGTGTGTGTAAAACAGCACATAGGTGCCAAGAAATATCCTGATACATGGTTGCATTCTAGTGTCTCGATTAAATCTGGAGTAAAATATTCATCAACCACCCTGATTATCCTCCAGCATTATGCTCAAGCTCACTTTATATAACAGAACCAAAACAGGCATTTCATCAATATTCTCAGGCTGATGTCAAAGTGAAGCAGAGGTGTGAAATGGTGGGTGCAGGATGTAAACCCCCAAAATACTTGAAACATATGGAATCCATTAAGTGACCAAAAAATGTGCAACAAATCTGGCCTTCAATTAAGATAAATTAGCATTGTAGTGACATTCAAAGGTATTACCTCTCATTAATGGCTTAGCTCCTAGTGATGGAGTGCCAGGCAACAGTGGTAAATGATAATGTATCCTAAAAGGCTTTGCCAAGACAGTAATGATTAATGTGGAAGAGCGGGCTTGGCTGATGGACTGCAGAGCTCAGTGGCGATGAAGGGAAGACCAGGAAGAAATAAAACATCTATGTTTTGGTCGACAAGCCAAGACCAAAAGGCAAATGGAAAGATGTTGTGAGTAGTTAAGAGGAATAAAGTTCCTCTTGACTAGGATTTATCTCTGCTGGGGAAACGGGGACAACATGAAGCTGAAGTGAATTTCTCCAATTGTGCTTATTACCAGTCTTGTAGACTGRCTTTAAATTATCTCATATAAATGGATTCAATGTGAGTGTTAACAGTCTGAAAAGAAGAAAAATCAAAAGCCAATTAAGAATCAAGTGTATGGTTTTATTTAAAGAGCATATGAAAAATATTAGAACTGACAAAAATATAAAATGACAGGAGAATGAAGTAGTGAAGTAATTAAATGAAAAGAATTAGCACAGGCTGCTTGAGTGTAGCGGGTGGGGTGGGATTCATTTGGTGCCTGACATTATACAATGCATGGATTACTTTGGAGCCATTCCAGCTTACGTAAAAAAAAAAATCATATGACCTATAATTATCCACTATGTTGGACAAGCTTTCTTTGTCAGTTTATCTTGTGCGACTCCTGCTCTGGAAAACTCCCACCTAAAATCAATAACCTGCATGAATCATCAGGCTAAACACCTGCCTTTCCAATATTTTCTAAATTAATTTAAAAAAACAGAGCCCCACAGTTGAGGTCTTAATGGATAGCAAACACTAGAAAAAATATAGCCAGCTAAATCAAAGGCAATTAAACTTGGTGGTTTTGCCTCTTACAAGAAACTTTCATAATTCTACCATGGAACATGTGGGGTTTAACTGTTGTGAGTTGTTGATTAGAGAATCTACACCAGTGATTAGAAGAAAAAAATGGGAGTATGGTTCAACTACTGGGATTTGTGGCAAACATTTTAACCATGGTAAAATAGTTTCATGTTATACAATTCATACTGTACCCCTGCAAATAGCCTATATGCCACGGACATACGGTCCAGCGCATGATGCCACTCCCGACACTTCCGGTTCGCGGCCAACACAGTATTAGTGAAAGATTTTTCACCCGACAACAACTCTTAATGTTCTCCACAGTACAGAATTAGCATATTACATGTACCAACATTAACACAGGAGATGTACACGTCCAGCCAAGTGGAAAAAAAATCACTCCAAAGTGCATTAAAGCCATAAAAACAAAGAAAAGACATTCGCGTCCTAGTCAAATGACCAATTTAGTAGGAAATACTTGCCCTTCATACAAATCTGTTCCAAATTGTGTATTAATTCAGGGTATGATTTACTTTGTTGTTGTTTTTTTTAATGGTATACATAGGTGGTTTTGTTTTTATGAATGAAAGAAACAAAAATATATAGACATCTCTTAATATATTTTGACAATTCAAAATACCTATTTAAGATAGCTCTAATTATATTCTGACTGGTACAAATAATAGATTTATCCTTAAGTTGTCGGGAGACTCCAGTTCAAAATATCTTAAATGTATCTTTAGATATGAGATAGGCTATATACGATTATTTTAATGCAAATTGTTGACTTTTTCATGTTCTTTTTTTTTTGTATTAAAAACAAAGCTGCTGCTGTTGATCATTTTGTTTTCATAAGCCTCGCCCCCAGGCCAGTGCTCTAAGGGAAACATTGGAAAGGTCTAAAAATGTTTAGTGAAGATGTTCTGGATGATAGAACTGACTGACAACCATGTTAATATTTTTGTAGTACAAATACGGTACATGTTTTATCTATTTTATCAAAATTTGATCATTTTTGTTTTGGGCAGGTAACTCTTCATGTCCGGCAGGTAACATTTGTTGTCACCTGCCAGACATGTCAGGTAAAAAAAATATATTGTCGAACCCTGTTACCACATAATTACATGGTAATAAGGTAGTATTTACCATTTAATTTCTTTTTTAATTACCTTGTAATTACATGGTAATAAGTGTACCGTAAAAGAAAGCGTTACCGACAAAGTTAAGTTCAGACCACATCTGTGCTCATTTGGGATTGAAGACAGAATTCACTTGAAATCATAACCACAAGTTTGTCATTGTACTAAGGTTTGTTTCCATTTATTGAATGACAGATTCATTCTTATACTTACTTGAAAAACTGCAAATAAAAAACATCAACCCCATGAGCTCTGACTCAAACAGGAACAAGTTCAGTTTGCTGCATTTTCAACACTGTTAATGGTCTTTGTTTGTTGCAATTGTACAATAAAACATACCACAGATAACATCTTTGGGGAAAAGTAAGTTTCTCAGGTCTCCAATCTGTTCATTAAAGCAAGTTTTTGTTGATATCTATTGACGGTTTGGACTGAGTGGCTCCCATACAAGAAAATGTTATAAAATCTGACACAACATGGCTTCCGCAAGCTATGTGTAAGCCAGCTAGTCACTTAGCTGAGGAAATCTGTCATAAAATAACTCATTTATGTAACAAATGCACACATTTCAAAAGGAAACTGTGCTCATATAAAGGCTATAATTCAAAATAAAGTCTGCTGATACTGAAACTAACAATGAGCTGTAAAGGTGAAAAAAATCCACACACGCATATTTGCATGCAAGTGTGTGTCAGAGTCATGCACCAGACAATGTGGAACAATTACAGCACTCACAATGCTTTTTATCAGCTATTATTTATTTATGAGACATGGGGCACATCAACACACACCCGTATGAACACAAGAGGAAATCTTGCAAAGCGAAACACCCAGCTGAGCTGAGCACAAAGAGAAGGTACACAATCAGTTCTACCTTGCTTCGAGCTGATAAGCAATACAAACACAATGCAAAGGAAGAACACAAACACACTGCATGAAATCTGTTCACACAAACAAAAGTCCCCCGATCGAACTAAATCTATGCATGCAGAAATAAAATGAGGCTGATTCTCTAAACAATGGCAGCATTAGCAATTCATGGCTGGTTTACAGCAGCTAAAAGTCGTGTGTCAAGTTCAAGGTTACATTTTCCTCAAGGAAAAGATTTTTATAGCCACAGATTTAAATATGGTATTAGAGGTCCAGCATTACAGTGGGTATCTAGTTATCTTGATAACAGGAAACAGTTTGTTCAAATAAATGATGTTAGATCTGAACTCTGTAACATCACACATGGAGTGCCTCAAGGTTCTGTACTTGGACTTTGTTATTTATTTTATATGTAAATGACTTGGTAAATGTGTCAGGACTTTTAAAATGTGTTCTTTTTGCAGATGATCCTAAAAAATGTTTTGCTTAGGTAAAGATATAGAACAAATGTTGGAGATGGTACAGACAGAATTTGTGAAAATACAAAACTGGTTTCAACTTAAACTGTCATTAAACTTTGATAAGACTAATTACACGACATTCAGCAACAGTAAGAGAACTGTCGATGTTCCATTTAGTCGATAATGTTGAGATTTGTAGAGTCAGTGAAGTGAAGTTTCTGGGTGTCACCATTGGTGGAAATATAACATGGAAAAATCAAATAAAATTAAGAACAAAAATAACTAAATCTATTGGAGTATTGTATAAAGTAAGAGAATTATTCAATGAAAAAGCTCTGTTTATGTTGTATAATGCAATGATTGTTCCACATTTAATTTACTGTATTGAAGTCTGGGGTAAAGCATGCAGAATAATTACAAATCCAATTTTTATTTTACAGAAAAGGGCTGTAATAATTATCACTAGAAAACATTACAGCTACCCATCAAATACATTATTTTATCAGTTGAAGATATTGAAATTTTATGACTTGGTTGATYATAATATTTTATTGTTGATGTATAAGGCTCAAAAAAATATATTACCTTCCAACATCCATGTAAATTTTGTTAAGAGATAGAGTTGTTATTTTCTTAAGGGGATAGAGATGTTTGTGAAGCCTTGGTTTTGTACCAGTTTAAAAGAACGGTGTACTTCAATCCAGGTGATAGGATTGTGGAATAGTCTGGAGGAAGATGTTAAAAATGCCAGATCTATGTATATATTTAAGGGAAWGATAAAACTTTGTTTTCTGAAGAAAAATGGAAAATCATAATTGTGAATGTATATGAATTGTTGTTGGGTTGACGTTTGTATTTAGCTTTGTTTTTTGATTTTCTTTGTTGTGTGTGTAAATCACTTTTGTTTGAACTTATTTAGGGGACAAAAGGGGCAGATATAAGATTTATTCTTCTTCTGCTGCCTTTCATTTTATTTTATTTTTGATTGTATGTTTTTTTGTAGTTGTTGTTGAATATAATTGTTTTGTTTTTAAAACGAATAAATTTCTAACAAAAAAATTACAAAATATTTGGTTAAAGAGTGTGTTTGGCCATTTCAAGTTGATGTTTGGTGGAACATTTTCAATAAATTATCATCTGTTGACAATTCTTTGAATTATCTTAGTTTGGAGAAACAGGAGCTCACAATTATGTCTGGGTGACATAYTGAGAACATTCCACTGTTCACAAGTTCTCTATTTTGCAATATCAAAATTCCTGTTTTAATGGGTATTCTTTTTATCCATTTAAATCAGTAGTTTGGTTGCTTCTAGTGCTGGGCTATAAAACTGGTGGCTCAGGGGCCACATCCGGTCCACGGATGAGCTCAGTCAAGGTCACCAATGAGTTCATTTAAAATAGAACAAGTATTAAAATCAGMAACAAATAATAAGATGCAATTATTATTAAACAAAATAGTCAGTTAATTAAAGGTAATCATTTAACAATCTGTTCTTTGTTGTACTAACTGTTTTATTCTGGTTCCTGCATCACGGTCTTTAGCCTGCATCAGAGTTTGTTTGGAACTGTTGTCATTACGCTTTAACAATCAGTTTGTCAAGTCATGTTGTATTTTAAATTTTAAATCCTAAAAGCCTAAAATAGTTGTGTTCTCTATGTGACATGTGTTGATCTAATCTGATCGTTCAACATGGTTCTGATTAGGGTTGGGCAAAATCGTATCATGTGCAATTAATCGTCAGAAAAACGTTAATCGATTATTTTTTGGCACTTGACGATAAATACGATTAATGCCACCAGGCAGATGGACTGGAGATTTTCCTGGTCAGTCAAATATGATAAACATTAAAAAAGTTCTGTAATTTATTTTTCGTAATTCCAGTTTTACTTGGCCTATCAACACAATTTTAAAAAATGACTTTTAGCCTGAAGTCTGTACTTTTGACACAATTTGGAACAGATTTTTACTGAGAGCAAATCTTTCCCACTAAAGTGATTTAAACTGGTCATGTGACTATGACATGCAGGCATCCAGGATCTCCAGGAGTAGAGCTGGGCGAGTAGTCATGCATTTTGGTCCAGCTGTGAAGGAGGAGGGTTAAGAAAARATTATGATGGGGTTTATTGTTTTATGTTATTTATTAAAGATTATCAGCATGACTCACCTTGCACACCAGTCAATTCCAACTCCACTACGAACTACTTCCTGCAGGCTTTTCACAATAGAACCACGTTAAGTCTCCATCAGCATAACGTCTCCATATTAACTAACCGCGTTAAATCTAACTGTGCACGTCACTGAAGAGGTGTTTACTACATTCAGCGACGGCGAAAACGGGATGTTTTTTTAAACGTCAGTCAATATAAGCAGCGGAATCGCCACCCGCGGCTGCAACTAGCTGCTCCAAACATTAGCATGCTAACGCACATTGCGGT